CGCCGCTTCCCTTATCGGATCCTGAGGAATCGCCTCCGGATCCGCAGCAGCAGAACCCTCTTCCGTCGCTGTCGTCGTCTGAGAGAGAGAACAGAGTCTCCTTCTTCCTCTTGAAGAGTTGGAAGTAGAAGAGAGCGACGGGAGGAGGCCGTTTTTTCTGGGATTAGGGCTTCGAGCGGAGATGGGTGTGGGTCCCACGATGGTTCTCCTGATGGAGGAGAGGAGGAGGGCGGCGCTTCTCGGCACCGCCGCCGCCGTCGCCGCCGCCGCATTGTTTTGTTTAGTCGTTAGCGGACAAGAATGAGGTCGGGTTTGTGGATTTGTGGGCTGGGAGCGACGGGTGGACTTTGAAACGTGGTTCGGCCGGTTTGAATCTTATTTGGGCTTTAGAGCATCCTAGGTAGGGGTGGGCGTGGGCCGGGTCGGTTCAGGTTTGTGACTCCACCCGCAGGGTTCAAGGTCTGGTCAAGCTCTACTCAGGCCCGTCTAGACTCGGTCCGACCCACGACCCGCCTAAGGGTGGGCCGGGCAGGGTCAGCTCACAGCCAACGGGTTAGCCCATGAGTTGTTTAACTTTTCTAAATTATTTTTTATATTTTACTCTTTATTTAATAAAATGATATATATACACATACATTGTACAAAGATAAATATCACACAGAAAAACATTACAAACACAGAGATATACGTGGTTCAAACTTCGAAGGAAGACCTACATCCACAGAAAGCTAATAATTTTCCTTTAGTTTAAATTTAAATTACAAATACAAGAGGAAAAAAGGAAAAAATGTTAACTAAAAACTAATAATTAAAATTCGGGGTCAGGTCGAGCTGGGTTGGGCAGGGTCGGGTCGATGGTGGGCCAAGTTAAGGTGGACCGGGCTTATATCTCTAGTCTCGGGCCTGGAACTGGACTCAACCCGATCCGTAACCCGCGTATATCACGAGCTGGGTCGGGTCTGGCCCACTATAGGTCAGACCGGGTCATGACCCATGGTAAGCTAGACCGGGTCAACTCGCAGGTCGACCCGGCCAACTCCCAACCCTAAACCTAGGCAAGTAAGAAATAATATTAGGTGGGTGAACACTTAATGCTAACCTTACAATTATTGTATTATACATACACAAGAAATGAAAGTGTGTGAACTCTAGCAACTCACTGCTCAGTCATTTACAAAAGGATTTTTGCACTCTTTCCCTGATTATTGGGGTCAGTAAGGAAATTATTAGGTCGGATTTCAATCATGTACAGTAAAATAAAGGAGGACTGCCTAAAATCATTTAAGTCGGTGATATCAGCTATCTTAGCACAAACCTAGCATCACAACACACGTATGAAAGCTCGCAAAATATGATTTGGACATTCAAAATGAAAATAGTGTGTCCATAGGAAAATTAGTTTTTGGAGGATTTTGGAAAATCCCCAACACTTCACAAAACATCAAACTACGTGCAAATACCCTTTGTTGTGGGTACTTTTTCACCTCAATGAAGCTAATGAAGAAAATGGAAGTGAACTTGGAAATCAAAATCTCAAAAAATACATATAATCAGAATTCGCCAAATTACAGGTTGAGATCACACGCTTGATTACGCTCAATGACAAAGCCACATCAGATAAGTGGCAGATCCATCTTCTTGAACTGGGTTGTTGCTTGATCGGACGCGTATACTTGACTTGACAGTCTGCAGTATTTCAATAATTTATCAAATTCTACTATCACATACTTTCAACTAATCCACATTCTAGAGATTTCTCATTTTGTAGATCCATAATTGGAATAATTTTGCAATTAATTTGAGTTCAATCCATCAAGAATCCAAAGAGAAATCTCAATATTTCGGTATTATCCAATAATATAATTTTTATGAGGAAATTAGCTAGATCTTAGGAGACCCACAAATACAGAGCTTAATCATGATTAAAACACATGTCCTAATATATTGATCTAAATAAGAAGATGTGGAGATGTTTGCCATCAAAGATATTGGTTGAAAAGCTCGAGTTTTTATCGTCAATTGAGCAAATCTTGTATATTTATCTACCATGAACGAATCTTGATGAGAACTAGGATTCAAGATTGAAAAGAAAAGAGATTGAGCATGAAACAATACTTACCTTTAAGAGATCCATGATTTTTGAGTTGGTCCTTGATTTTGATATCTACTCTCTCAATCATCTTCTTCTTCAAAATCTATTTCTCCCTCAAAGTTTCACTCTTCTCCCTTTTTCTAGGTTCTACCAAAAACCTAGTTAGGGCTTGTGAAGAGGAAACTCACTTCTATTTATAACACAAAACTCACATACTAGACTTCTTAAGTTTTATGACAATGTCACTTACTCTAATTTTGCACTTAAATCCTAATCTAAGCTCTCTAAGTCTTGAATTGACTTTGTTTATGTTATGACATCAATTAACCTAAGTGTTAATTCTCTCTGGGAGTTGACACATGTTCCATGATAACATTAATCAATCATGTCAGCTCATCCTCGCTAGCGGCGACTCGGAAGGCCTAGACACTCCACTCCTCTTGAGCCAGACACTCCACTCCTCCTGAGCCAGACCGAGTCGAGACTAGCTTCCACTCGACCTCATCAATCGAGTCGACCATGCTCATTCACTCAGAGCTAGGTCGACATCCTACAAGGCCGACTAAAAGGGCGGTGCTTTTCGGCCTTCAGTCGGACGACTAGAGAGGTTGTGTATCCTCGAATCGCTCGCCGACTACCAGTCACAATCACATTAAATGCACGGTCAAAGTCATCATTGTTCTAGCTCCCATAATTTTTATGACTTATCAGACCCAGTCAGGACAAAACAGCTACTGTCTCTTTGCACTAACCACCTGGATGACATATGTCACCCACAGCCGACACGTATCAGCTATCTGTCGAGTCAATTGTATGCCTAGACTCAGCCACAGTTACATATTTACCCCTTTCGAATGGGTATATATATGAGCTCATTGCCTAATAGCAGAGGAGGGACCGGAGGAAGCCCCGAGGAGGGCTACATATATGCAACTTCTGCATACTTAACTATTTTTAGTTCATTGGTAACTTGATCATCGAAAGAACAACCGGAGAACCCAACTCCGGTCCTCTAATGAGTATTATTACGTATCTCTCTTATAATGACATGGGACCCATCTTCAAAAAAGAGATGAGGGAACCCACATCACTCATATCGACCTTAAGCCCCTTGCTAAACTTAAGATTACCCGCTAATCTAACTATTGGATCTCAGGGCATCAACAGTTTTCGCACCCATCGTAGGGCCGCTTCATCTATCTTTTATAAAAGAACGGTCAACCTCTTTGTGCTCAAAGCTTGTAGATAAGAAGCTACCATTCCGATAGGCTAAAACGCCAAGCTTACCACGAACGTTTTAGGGACTACCTCACCAAGATATGATCATCGTTATTCCTTTTATAAATAAGAGATATTTTTATGCTGCGTACTAACCTATACATTGCTTTCACCGTACGATCTCTATCTACTCGACTCACTTCTGCCACTAATTCTAGCATCATTCTCATGTCTACGTCTAGAGCACATCCTCCCAAAGGTAACAAATTAAAGATACTATCTTTAAAATAGGACATTTTTGTGCCATATACATAAGTGTAGATGTTAGCTTCGACAAAAGAACTTGGTATATTTTTAGTGTAAAACCAAGGCATGCTAACGACAAAAGACATTGGTACTTTTTCAGGGTAAAACCAATGCACACCATCGATAAAAGACCTTGGTACCTTTTCAGGGTAAAACCAAAGCATATCAACTCAATCTACATCAATAAAAAATACATTGACATCTTTCTAAGCCCAAGGCACGTATCCTAAGACATTGATATTATCGCGAGTAAACCCAAGGCACGAAACCGAGTCGCACTACTTTTCCCAACCGGGCCCAAGTCGTCTCGACCCAAAGGACCGATATGTACTCAAAGGTATGCAGTTCAAATTGATAAAAATAAAAATATTTCTAATCATTTTCAAGAGCAAGAGCAAGGAACGTCATCAGCTCGGATGACTCCGATACCAAGACCTTGGCACCTTTTAGGGTAAAATCGAGGCACGCCATCGACAAAAGGCCTTGGTACCTTTTTAGGGTAAACTCAAGGCACGTCAACTCAATCTACTTCTACTCAAAAGACCTTGGCATCTTCCTAAGCCCAAGACACGCACCCTAAGACCTTATTGTCATTACGAGTAAATCCAAGGCACTAATGCGGGTCATCTTAAACCGAAAAACCAATGGATACTCAAAGGTACGCAGTTTAAATTAATAAAATAAATATTTGTGTTAAAAACGTTTGCAGCAAGACCTTGTCACATTCATAAGCCCAAGGCACAACTTTTAGAGCCATGTGATCATATTCAACAATAATGTATGAGATCGAGTCGCCCTATTCGCTGTAACAGCAACCCATCGCTTCCCTCATGAACGCACCTCGGGATCCGACCAGCTCTATTTCACTCGGACTCGACTACCCTGAGTCCAAGCAAAAGGGGCCAATGTTGTGACATCAATTAACCCATGTGTTAATTCTCCTCTTGGAGTTGACACATGTCCCATGACAACATTAATCAATCATGCCAGCTCACCTTCGCCAGGGGCGACTCGGATAGCCTGGACACTCCATTCCTCCTGAGCCAGACCGAGTCGAGACTAGCTCCCAATCGACCTCATCAATCGAGTCGACCACCCTCATTCACTCGGAGCTGGGTCGACATCCCGCGAGGCCGACTAAAAGGGCGGTGCTTGTCGGCCTTCAGCCGGACGACTAGAGAGGTTGTGTATCCTTGAATCGCTCGCCGACAACCAGTCACCATCACATTAAATGCACAGCCAAAGTCATCATTGCTTTAGCTCCCATAATCTTCATGACTTATCAGACCTCGTCAGCACAAAACAGCTGTTGCCGCTTTGCACTAACTACCTGGATGACCCATGTCACTCACAGCCGACACATGTCAGCTGC